TTTTCTTTTAAAGAGACAGAGTCTTACTTTGTCACCTTAGGTAGAGTGCCATGGCACTCACAGCAACCTCCAGCTCTTGGGCTGAGGTGATTCTCTTGTTTCAGCCTCCTTAGTAGCTGGAACTATAGGCGCCCATCACAATGCCTGGCTATTTTTTGTTGTAGTTTGGCCGGGGCCAGGTTTGAACCCACCAACCTCGGTATATGGGGCCGGCGTCCTACTCACTGAGCCACAGGTGCCGCCTGAAAAGTAGATTTCTTCTGTGGTAGCTGGGTGAGGTGGCTCACTCTGGGAAGCTGAGGCAGGTGGATTGCCTGAGTTCATGAGTTCAAGACCAGCCTGAACAAAAAAGCAAGACCTAGTATCTACTAAAAATACAAAACCTGAGGCAAGAGGATTGCTTGAGCCTAAGTTGGAGGTTGCTATGAGCTATGATGCCATGGGCACTCTACCCAAGGTGACAACTTGAGACTCTGTCTCAAAAAAAAAGTTTCTCCTGTGGGGCTGCATTTACAGAGGCCAGCAGGAAGTTGTCCAGTGCTCTCCAGTCTGTATGAAGGACTGTGTATGGGGGCTGGTCTGGGGCCCTGAGGGCTCTGGTCCTGGCACTGTTTATGTGGAAGTGCTCTGCTTGGGGCACTGCTGGGCTCCCTTGTCCCATGTTTTCAGAACCCATGTTTTTCCATGTGGTTGTTTCTTTTTCTTTTCCTTTTTTTGAGACAGAGTCTCACTGTGTCACCCTTGGTAGAGTGCTGTGGCATCACAGCTCACAGCAACCTCAAACTCTTGGGCTTAAGCGATTGTTTTGCCTCAGCCTCCCAAGTAGCTGGGTCTACAGGCACCCACCACAACTCCTGGCTATTTTTTTTTGCAGTTGTCATTGTTGTTTAGCTGGCCAGGCCAGGTTCGGACCCACCACCCTTGGTGTATGTAGCTGGCACTATAACCACTATGCAACGGTGCCAAGCCTCCATGTGGTTGTTTCACATAGTTGACTTGCGGAAAGTGAAATGTAACTTTTCTTAGGTTTCTGTCAAAACCAAGGAAAGGGCAGTCTCCTGGCCTTTGTACTTGTCCTGCTCACTGCTGTTGTGTTGAGCCCCTGGGCTGAGGGCCCTTTCTCTGCTTATGTGTGGAGACTTTCAAGTGTATATTGCCTGTCATCAATGGAACTTCGAATATGACTTTGGTTGGCTTATATCCATCATTTTAATTGGTGTGAATTACCTGGCAGAGTCTGGCTGTTCACTGGATGGGTTTGCAGTAGGGCCAGGCAGGTTTTACTCCCTCAGAAGTTTGGCCAGACCCACAAGGTGGCCTTTGGGCTAGCCTCATGTACTCCGTCCAGCTCTGGTCCTTTGGGGTGGTAGCCCCTTGCTGCTGGTTCTACTCTCTGCTGAGCAGTTCCCTGCGGGCAGGGTCTTACTAGATATTTTTCTTTGTCTTCCTGGGCTGGTCTTCATGGCCATTATCAGAGAGTGGACCACAGACAGATGCCATTTCCAGCAGGAGTGACCTGGTGACTTGGTGTGTGCTTCTGGATCATGGGGCTCAATCACTCAGGAGCACTGAGTCCCTTAAAGGGTATTGTCTGTATTTCTGGTAATGGCCTAAAATGGCGGTTCACAGCCTATGGGTTGCTTCCCCTTTGGGGGTCGAACGACTCTTTCACAGAGGTCGCCTATATACATCCTGCATATTAGATATTTACATTACGATTCATAACAGTAGCAAAATTTCATAGCAATGAAATTAATTTTATGGTTGGGAGTCACTACAACATGAGGAACTGTATTAAAGGGTTGCGGCATTAGGAATGTTGAAAACCACTGGCCTAAAAGGTCGAGAGAAGAAATTGTAAAAGAAAGGGAGTACCCAAAATGTGTCCAGAGTTTTGTGTGGAAGGACAACTCTGGGTGTCTGTGTTGGGTGGTGCTAAGAGGTGGCCCTGGGGAAGGATGTCTAGTGGCAGAGGGGATTCCACATTAGGATGGAGGCTGGTGTAGTGAAGGGCATGGCTCAGGGCAGGAGACCAGGCTGGGGATCTCAGG